TACTTCCCCAGAAGACAATGTCATTTTTACTAAACCAAGGAGAGGAAGAAAGCAGATTTAGCCACCACCTACTTTTGGCCAGAAATTATGTTAGCAAGTTGACCGATGTCATCTCATTTATTTCCACCACCACCCTCTAGGTTTTTATCGTCACCTTTTGAAAACGAGAGATGTGTGGCTAAGAGCAATCAAGCATATCGGGGTGCGAAGCTGTGACTAGAACTCATGTGTGTGCAAGCCCAAAGCCTGTTCTTGCTCCCCATCAGATAGAATCCTACCTGTGTGCCGGGCACCAGAATCCCCAGAGGATTGTACTGCAATGTGTGTTCCACTTGAAATCCGAATTTCTGGGGGAGAGTCCCAGAAATTACTATTTAATCTCCCTGAGATTCTGATGCTTCACTTGGTTTGGAGACTGTTTTTGGAAGGTAAATTGCATTTGGTGGTAGAAATAATCTCCCAGAGCCTTCTTTCCACACCTTTGTTCATGCATTGTTTTCTGCCTAGGAGGATGTCTTGTCTTCCATCCTGAAAGGCCCACTTCTAGTTCAACCTTCCCCAGGAGGCCTTCCTGGACTGCTCACCCAGCATGCGGTCTCTCCTCTGTTTCCCACAATTACCTCTTTGTGCTCCTCTAGTGCACTAACCATTGCATGTCTTGTAAAGGAAATTCCCATGCTCTGCCAGCCTTAAAGTCCTCCTGGACAAAACCCAAGTCTTGCATATTAGTCTTCATTCATCCCACACCACGAAGGACACCAGGTGCCTGGGCAGAGCCTTAGATGTGAATCAAAGAGCATTTACTGAATTGAGTTGGGTTAGATCTAATGATCAAGACACTTCATTACAAACCAGTTTATGCGTGGCCAGCCTACTGACTTCTCAAAACCCTTGACTGTTTCGGGCCTCTTTGCCTTTGATGACCCAGATCCTTTGACCAGAAATAATCTTTCTCCCCAACAGTTAGATTTCTCTTTCTACTTCAAGCATGATCTCCTCTGATCATTCCCACCCAAGGCAGCTTTTATTACACCTGCTTCTGTGAAAACTTGGTCAAGATAGAACTTAACCGTAAGCATTGTATATTTTCTTGTAAGCTTCTCCCACTGGGCTACGAAGTTGTTTGTATTGTGTTCCTAGGACTTGGACGGGCACATATTAGAGGGCTGATATAGTTAGAATGAATGAGTGAATGAATGGATAAACCAAAAAATGGGTGCAAAAATAACCAGGTCTGGGTGGCATTTCTCGCTCAAAAGATTGTCCAGTCTTTCTCCCCAGAGTCAGTGTTTCAGAACGTGAATGAAGAACAGCCGCCCACCACCCAGACCTGTGCTGCACAGACGTCCCCAGGAGTCATGTGGTGGTTCTGGGTGAAACTGGTTGTGTGCAGACCCCTTTGGCCGGCTACCCAACACCCAGACAAGACCAGGGACATGGTAGACAGTCTCATCTGTCCTTCCTTTTCAGCTTCCTTCTTCCTTTCCCTTCTCCTGAGTCCTCCCTCCCCAAAGGTGCCACTTGTGACTCCCGGGGGCATTTTCCGAAGTGGATCCCAGACTTCGGCAATGAGCTTCACAGTGCCACTCGTATGACAGAACCAAGGCCTCCCGTGGACCTCTTCCTCTGGCCTCCCTGCCCGAGTTCCACGGGCATCAGGAAGGACACACACTCAGGTTCCCTGAGGTTTCATCGGCAAGTCCAGAGCCAGGTCACAGGGGTCAGGATCTGTCTCCATTTGGGCCTGCAATCAGGAACGAATGTGGCAACAACTCCGGACTTGCTCTTCTAGTGCTTTTTTAAGAGACCTTTAACCACAGAATTTTTATTAGCTCACTCTCTCGCGCTCTCTCTCTCTCTTTGTCATTTAGCAAATGAGAAAAATCTCCACAAATTGAAACCAGATGTGTTTGCCTGGGCTATCAAAAGCTACAATGTTTTTATCATGTTCGTTTTTATTTATTCAGTCTCCTTAGCTCCCTAGTCATGAGGCTCCAGTGTTTCCTCGTTATTTTGAAAACCAGGAGATGTTGGCATGTGGTGAGGTGCTTCTCCACCAGTCCCGTAAGCTGAAAAAGTCTAGATGCTTCTTTGTTCAGAGAAGTGGGGGAAACATGTAAAATGAAAATCTCTGTGCCATTGTCATGCATTCAGTCAAATATGCCACCCTGTTTATATAATTAAGCCCTGATATAGCTCCTAATTGTGAAACTGGCATAATTTTGTATCTTATTAAAATAAGTGATATGATTAGAACAGTATGATGCACACCGTATGACTTCCTACTTCCATGTATAAACTGGGCCAGGTTTTCATGTTGTCTCTGAGCTTTTACGCAGTCCAGCCGTCCCAGTGAGGCCGTGGGCATGTGGAGACCACCCCGTGCATTCAGCATCATTGACATTCATGCAAGTTGGCACCACACCCACTCACTTGGTGTTCAGACCCATAGAGATTCGTCTATTCAGCTCCATCCCAGGCAGAGGAAAGAGAAAAATTAATATTCCTAAGTGGAAAAAGACCAAATAAGCTGCTGAGAAAAGTTACTTTCAGTTATATCTTAACCACTTATGAGGCACGCATGCGAGCAGTTAATGGCAAAGAGGATGAAGCCCAGAGGGGGTGCCCAGACCAGCAACAGCCCCTGGGCCACCTTGCAGCCCCGAAAACTCAATTAACCTGGCAGGGCCTTGCTCCTCTGTTCATTAGTATTTATTTATTTGATTTTCTTAAGCTTGCTTTTTGTGGTAAAAGCACAAAAGTAATCACCTCGGGGCACAGGCACAAGAGAGTAACAATTAATTAAAATACATAAAACAGACCTGAGATGGCCAACAGCCTTGAACTTGGAGACAGCCAGATAAGCCTTTTAAAAGGCTTATCCCCTGAACTTGCCAGATCTGCAGGAGGAGGCCAAGATCACGGCAATGAAGAATTCAGTAAGTGGGGAGAGAGGCTTCAGCATTCAGAGATCTCGGAAATTGTTAGCAGTCATGCCTGGCTGACCAGACACTGCGTACAAAACCTCTCTTAAAACTGGGGATAGTTCTCAGCTTTCGGGTCACTGTTGGAACTACTGAGAATTTGGAAGAAGAGCAGGTTGAGAATCAATGCATTCAAATAAAGCACTGACACTCCCCCCTGTGTGCTCCCCTCAACTCAAGCCAAGCCAGGACCCCTGCCGTAGGTTAAAAACAGGCACAAGGACTCAAAATAAGGTTTCTCCGAAGAATTGGCACTGTCCGGGGTGAGGGGAAAAAGTGCAGTGGGGAGCTTGTTCTCTGGAGGAGTGCCAGCAAAGACGGAGACCTGCTCTGTGCCAGGGACCATGCCAGGTACTTGTGCAATAGTTCCTGGGGAATAACACCAGGTCAGGAGGGGCCACGAGCAGCAGGTGAAGCCAGCTCAGCCTGAGCCTTTTACATGGAAACACTTGCACAAGACTGCCTCCGCAAAGCCCGCCATCCCCACGGGGCTGCACTCGGGTCCTTCCATTCGCCCGCATATCCCGGATATCAGCCCCTCAGCAGTGTCTTCACTCTTCTCAGTGGCTACAGTTATAGGCATCTATAAATGTATTATTTCCTGACTTTGAAAGATGCCTGATTATGCATTTGAGGTTGTTGCCCGTGATCTGTTACCCCAAGTATGGATTCAATAAATAATCTTTATACATATGCCGTGTAAACGTGTCTCTTGAGGTCACGTTTGTAGAAATGAAGTCACTGGGTCAACAAGGAAGGGCTTCCTGAATGCTGGTGCACACGTCGCCTTTCCTGGAGGTCGTACCTTTACTGAGCACTCTCCGAGAACAGGATTGTCACGTGGTATCACGGAAAGTCGACTGCTAGCTGTGGTTCTTTGCCTGTCCTGGCCTCGTCCCACAGAAGTGTCTCCAGGCTACCAGCCCATACAGTCATGGGGCTGCACCCCCGGGTGAAGCACGGACTTGTATTCCTGGACTCACACATCCTGAATACTTGAGTCCACGGGGGCAAATTTCAAAGAGGGAATCTCTCTGGTCTGAGGTCTGCCTTCTACAGCCCCATTTCTTTCTGTGGGATCTGTCTTTTCTTTGGGTGGTTCCTAACCAGCCATTCTTTCTTTCTCTTTCTAAGGTTGCAATCTAGACTTGACTGCTAGACAAACACAGGAGAACACGCTGCCCCAACATCCATACAAGATCCACAAGTGCGATGCTTGGTTACTGTATCTTTCTCTCTCTAGTCACTGTGGCTTTAAAAAAAAAAAAAAGGTGTCATGTTTAATAAAAGGCCCTTGTCATGCTGACAATGCTGCTAAGTTTGAATAGATAAACATTGACAGAAAGTAGATGGGAGCCAGCAACAGGCAAACATTTCTGCACAATACGAGAGGAATCTAGGCATCTAAGAGCATCCATCAAAGAGCCATCAGGATACTGGAGGGCTGAGGTTGTGTTGACTGGGGAGGCAAGTGAGCCTTCTCCAAAGATCCAGGGACCCATGGACCTTTTGAACAAGCAGGTTATCTGATGTTTACTCAGAAGCTACTTATGATGCTCCAATATAAGCTTCCTCTTGGTCCCCCTATGCTAAACCATTGCTAAGGTCAATCACCGTTTTAAATGTTGAGGGTGGGGACAAACCATTTCTTGGTTCCTGATTACCAAGTCCTTTCATTATCTCTAACTAAATCACACATCCAAACCCTCCTTTGTTTCTCATTCATAACACATCTCATTAACTAGCAGGGGACATTTGTTTATTCCTTTACTATGTGTCTCCCCTCTAAAATATAAGCCCTATAATAACAAGCAATGGTGTCTACTTCCTTTGCTTCTTTGTTTCCATTCCTTAGAACTATTCCTAGCATATACTAGGTGCTCAATAAATATTTGTGCAATTGACCAAGTAAGCAAAGAATGACCACAGTGAGTGGAAAAGAAAACATGAACACATTCAGACATTGTTTAAAACTCAGCAGACTAAAAATTGAAATGTCCCAATGTAGCTGAGAAAACATCTTTTTTATAAGGAACAGAGTGAAATTAAAGTCTGAGGGTTTAAATTAAGGGAAAAAAACATTGGTCCTCTTATCCTCATATTTCACAGACTAATAGCATTCGCAGACTTCGGTACTTAGAAGGATTTTATGAATTTCACATCCTCTGGAAAGACATGACTTCCTGCCACGAACAGGGAGGGTGTGAGTCCTGGTCCAGATAACCATGAGCATCCATGAGTAATTGTGACCGAAATTCAGCCTTGCACTGGGAAGCAGGCTTGCATCGCTGAGGTCAGCAATTGGCTCTTCCATCTTCGGTTTCGTGCCAGCCCAGACAACTTGGGCTGCACCAGAGATAATCCAGACTGTGTTCACACTTTTTCTCTGCTATGGAACAGCAGAAAACATCCTAGTTCGTGGGGAGTAGGAACAGAGACCTGACTTGACTGCAAGAGTTATCTGCATTTTCACCATCAAAGTACGACTTTTCCGCTCACCCTTCCCCATTCTCCCTTGTATATTCAGAATGGCCATCGCTGCAAACTAAGAAGATGCCATTAGCCAGATATTGAGGTCATTAACTCCACCCACACAGAAGGGCAGGGAGGCTAAAGAGTCACATTCAGGCAACCAAAGCGAAGTCTGAGCCGCAGTCTCTGGCCCAAGTAACCCAGAGCCACCTAAAGAGAAGCAAGAAGCTGAATTGCTATTTCATGGCGCAGCATAGACGAGTTGTGTGAACTACTCAGGATACCTGTGCAGACAGCCCCAACTTACTTGAGAGTTGTTCTCACCTGGGCTTTGCAAAGACCATGGAGATAAACAGTGTCAGTGAAAAAAGTTCCATAGACACCCATCCCAGTGTGCGCGTACCCTCATCATGGGAACGATAATAAAAACATCGAATTCCTCGACAGTCGGCACCAGTGAAACATCCTGGCATTGTTTGTTGGAGAGAATTCGACATGAATCTGTTCAAATAAATTAACACTCTCGTTTTGACTGTCTTTTCTGGCAGGAATAAATAGTTCACCATGCCAGTTCATGAGCTGACCTACGAGATTTCTCCTGGAAAAAAAATACAAGCTATGCAAAGTACTTCGTTATATTTTGACACCGAAATAAAAGTGGTTCACTTTTCTTTTTTTTTCTTTTCTCCTAAAACCTCTTGTTCTCTTACATTCCATATAACACAAATGTGATAGCGATTGGAGGAGGAGGAAGAAAGGAAAGGGAAAACGGACAGGAGGCATGTGGGAGATGCTTATTACAGCTTATCAAGGGGAGAGAATAACACCTCATTTTCTATATTAAAAAGCCCAGGAAACAAATCAATCAACCATTCATTTAGCGATTCTCTCTGAACGTCCCACATCTGGTATTACAACATAGCCTGTACCCGTCCACATTTCCATACTACTTTTTTTATGAATAAAGTCAAAATTAACCTAAGAAGCCAGTTTCAAAAAAAAAAACTGGAAATGGCAAGTTGGACTACCTTTTCCTAATTTTTCTAACTCTATGATGTTCTGCTTTTTGATTGGGGATTAGTCTATAAATAGTAAAATCTTAAACATACAACTTAATGAATTTCTACCTATGCATAAACTCATGTAACACCTCCCAGGTCAAGACATAGGACACTTCCAGAGAACTCAGAAAGTTTTCTTGTGGGACCTCCCAGACAGTACCTACCTGTTACCCCAGGGCTAAACATGACGTAATTTCTTTGATCTTCATTCAAGTGTCCTCACTCTTGAAATTTATGTACCTGGAGTCATGCGTTATTGTCCTCTTTTGGGTCTGTCTTCTTTAGTTCAGGGTGACACGTTTGAGGTCCATCCCTCAAACTATCGTTGGTTTATTATTTTTAATCCAGTGTAGTAATCTATTGTACGAACACACTACAACATGTTTATGCATTTTCCCACTGGTGAGCATGTGGATGGCTTCCAGTTCTGGACTGTTATGGAACAGCTGCCATGAGCGCTCTGGTGCAAGCCTTTCTGTGGACACAGGGACTCGCTCCTCTTGGGAATGACATTTCTGGGGGCAGAGATTTAACTTTATTAGAAACTGCCAAATAGTTTTCCAAGGTGGTTACACCATGCTCCTACTTGCTTTTAAAATGACCGAGTTTTTAACTGAAAACACTTTGCACCCACGTGTCCTGACCCCTCCCCTCCCACGAATGGTTTGTTCCCGAAATACAAACTAGTACATGGAAAGGTACCATGAGAGGTTACAGACTATGGAATCAGATGAGCCTCAGAACCCTGTTCTCTCACTTATTTATTAGTTTTCAGACTTGGAGTAGGACATCTTTAATTGCATCAGGGCTCCGTAGGTCTTTGTGAAACAACCACATGGTATCGACTTGCTCCATCGGTTTGTTGGGAGGACAAAGTGAGGTGATACAGATGGGAATATCCTGCTCAGGTTCAGACAGAGCCAAGCACTGGGTAAATGCTAAGCCCCTCTCCCTGCATTTCCTAACAAGCACCACCCCCTTCAGCTAAGTTTTGGGGTCTCTCCCTCTCTCCTATTTCGCAGGGGCCTGAGGAGGAAGGAAGTCTAGAAAAGAAAGACCCTGAAGTTTATAAGGTCAGGGGGCCAGATACGGATCCGAATCCGTCTTGCCACAGCAGAAGGGAGAGTCTCTATTTACAGTAGGACCCAGATGGAAATGATTTGTTCAGAACCATCTTATTCTTGAGTGTGATATTTGTCCACATCATAAAACCACAGGCTACAATGTGTCTGACATTATACCAAGTGATATAACCCGTCCTAATGATATTATAATAAATCCCAAATGAGGCGGCCATCACTCGGCAGCCTTTTCAAAGTGTTCCTGAAATAGTTTTTACAGAACAAGGGATCTGTGTGCCAAATGCAGGCGCTCACATGAGGCCGGAGGAGTCAGCTCAGGCTTACACAGGAACACAGCTCTGGCTCCATTCTCGGCTGGGGACGTTTTCTTTTTATATTAATCTATTGGCTCTTTATGAAAAAATCAAAATACTTCTTTTTTTATTTTTTATATGAAGGATGAAATTGGACATGTTCTAAGTGCAATAAAATGTCCCCCAGGGTGCTTTTTTTTATTATTATTCTTTAAATCAGCAGTTTCTGTGTCTCTTCATTAGTGAAAGCCAATGACCTTCATCTTGGCTTCACCTCCCCCGGTGCTCAAAGAACGCTGACCACATTTCCTGCCATTCTGGTGGTGAAGGGGTTGTTTTGCTCTGTTTTTCTGCTCACATACATAGGTATGTTTCTGAGACACCATGTGATCTGTTTCCACCAGCCTGGGGAGCTTGCTGACTCAGACACCATTGAATTTCTTCTAGGACAAATGTGCAGCCCTTTCTGGCTTTAAAGGCGAGAACCACAGGAAGCCCTGTGTCTCCCCTAATGGGGTTGGAAACACCATCTTGCTGAACTGTGGTCTTGCAATTAGGAGGACCTGGAGCAAGAAAGAATATCTATTCCACCTCACTCTCACCATCACCAACAAGCCACCACCACCTCAACCAGCATCCCTGCCTCTGTGTCCAAATCCACAGCCCATGTGTTTATCTCCCTCATCATTTCCCTGCCCGTCTTCCCTGCAATCATCAGCCTTCTGGCCATCTCCACTGCAATAGATCATCTATGGTCAGGATCTTCCCATCACACCTCTTTCCTCTCCCTTTCCCATCCCATGTGGTTCCATCAGTGGTCCAAACTGTGGGTCCAAGACACAAGTATATGAGTTTTACAGTTACTGGAAAAGATGGCATTCTCTTAATTCTCTAGCTAAGACCACAAGGATGGATGAGGTGAGCCTAAAACTGCTAGGGATCACTTACTGCCTCTGGGCAAATTAAATATACATTTTTTAATATGGCAATTACAGCATACTGGAAATTAAATAGAAATCTATCAGTTTTACAACTGTAAAAATATATAACATCTCCTATATCTGTTTGAAAACATAGAGCATCTTAGTAACAACCTATCAATAAATGTGGAGGGCATTTATTAACAAACAGTAACACTTTCTACCAGACATGAAAAAAGTCATAGCATAGAAAAGCACACCATTTTAGTACTTGGTAGTATGGGTGGACTTTCCATTATTTTAGCCCCATTAAGTTACGTGACTTCAACCTGTATGAAAGGTGAGGGCAGGACAGCAGCCCCAGTGGGTCAAGGGTGGAGCGTTAAGCCAAAGAAGATTATTCTCCAGCCAGAAGCTCTAATGTCATTTTCCCCATTAGGTTTTGGGCTTGCGTGGGACCCATTACTTCTTTCTTCTTTCCTATTTCTCCCTTTTGGAATGGGAGTGTCTATCCTATGCCTGTCACACTATTATATTTTGGAAACACATAATTTGTCTGGATTCACAGGTTCACAACGGAAGACCAATTTGCCTTGGGATGAATCATACCTTGAGTCTCACCCATATCTTATTTAGATGTTATTTAGATGAGACTTTGGAATTTTAGACTTCAGAGTTCATGTTGGGATGAATTAAGACTTTGGGGGCTGTTGGGATGTAATTCATGTATTTTGCATATGAGAGGAATGTGAGTTTTGGAAGGCCAGGAGTGGAATGCCATAAACTGAATGCTTGTGCCACCCTCTCCAAATTCATACATAGAAACCTAATCCACAATGGTATTAGGAGGTGGGGACTTTGAAAGATGACCAGATCGTGAGGGCAGAGCACTCATGAAGGGAATTAGTGTCCTTATAAAAGAGACCCCAGAGAGCTCCTCTTGACCCATCTGCCCTATGAGAACACTGAGGCACCCATGAATCAGGAAGTGCTTTCTCACCAGATGCTGGCACCTTGAACTTAGATTTCGGCCTCCAGAACTGTGAGAAATAAGTTTCTGTTGTTTATAAGCCACCCAGTCTGTGATATTTTGTTACAGCAGCTTGAACAGACTAAAACACAGACATGCTCCACTTCACCCTTATCATGCATTAACAACCCAATTTCTCATTCGTATTCAGGGTCCATTGTGCCAGCCAGCACAGGAACTCCCTTCCTTGTGGGTTCCCTGGCATGAGGCATCCAAAGAGGCCGGGAGCCAGTCTTGACTTCCATCTAAATGACCCATGGCTGTGGCCTCTGCATGAGAGCACCTCTCCCTTGGGCTCTAAATCTTCTAGATCAGGAGAACTTAAAATCATAGGAGCAGAATGCAAAACTTTTGCTCTTGGATCATTGGGGTAGATGTAAGAGGAGCTCATCCCCCCACCTGGCTGTGGAGAAAACCAGTGTCATTTTGGTCACTGGCATAGTGCCATTACTGGAGGACATTATTACTTCAGCCCCACAAATTGCTGCCACCCAGATAGTGCCATAAAGAGTCTTCAGAAAACTTATTCCAGAATTTCTATCGGGTCAGCTGATTAAGGGAGATGGAGAACATTGCAAGGCCAGTGAATTTAATGGGTATGAACCCATTGGTGATGGTTATTCTCTGTCAAGTGACTTCTTGGTCAGAGGTGATGCCATGTGGGCCACTGTGATGGTGAACAAGGCTTTCTGTGAATTCATGCTGGTTTGGGCATAAGCAAGACAGGCAGAGAAGGCAAATCCATGTCCAGAGCAAGTGTCTATTCTAATGAGAACAAAGCACTGCTCCTTCTAAGATAGAAACAATCCAATGTGATCACCCTGTTACCAGGCTGGCTCCCTGGGGATTGGTGCCATATTAAGGACTCAGAGTTGGTTGATCCTATTGGCAGGTAGAGCACCAGACAGTTGCTTTAGCCACATCAAGCTTTGTGAATGGGAGTTCATGTCACTGAACCCACGTAAAACCTTCATCTTTGCTGCCACGACTATTTGGTTGAGAGATACAAACTTGCAGTTGACAAAAGTGCCAAGAGATTCCTGGGTGACATTTCATTGGAGCAAAGCAGGAAGTAGGGAGCAAGGCTAGTAGGAATCAGGGAGACCCAGGCTTTAGAGAACATGCTGGATTACCCAGAGCTTCTGATTGTGCATGGTTAGGTCAGAAAAGCCAGGGTAATGTCAATATCTTTCTCATAGAGTATTCTGGAAGCCTCTCAATGACCACAGAATCTGTAAGTGACGGCTGAATACATGTGCTCCAACAGCCCACTCAGCAGGCATTCCCCAGAGGCGAGGACTTATTTGGTCCCACTCACTGATGGCATAATTTGGGGGACCCACAGAGAGAAGCAAAAGCATCAGCGCCAATGGGGCTCTCCTGTGGCCCATTCTCTCCTCTTCTCTGTGGCCATCACAGACTATTGATGGCTCCTTGGTAATGGACCTCCCAGAATACCAAATCAAAGCAATGATGTGAGCTCTATACTTCCCCCTCTTCTACTTCAGCAAGCTTTTAACTTTAAAAGCCTCAGAGAAAAAGGTTCTCTTTTGTTGTATATTTCAACCCCGCTGCTCCTGACATGGTACCTAATTCGTACTACTTGCTAGCACAAAATAGCCCTTAGTAAGAGACTCTCCTATCCCTGCCCCCAGTCTTCACTTGTCTTTCGTCTGCCTTCTCTCCGTCCCATGAAATCACATAGCAAGGGAATGTGTGCTCCAACCTTGGGACCCTTAACACATCCTTCTGGCCCCCTGGAAGCTCACCCCCCTCTAACAGCAGTTAGGGTTTGGGCAACATTGTGTGGGGGACATGGGCCCTACTGGAGGTCAGAGAGCTGGCTTCGTAATCCAGGCTCTGCCAAAACTTAACATCTGTGCTTCCTAGTCCATAAACTGGAGATGAGAACAGCCCACTAAAGGAGCTTTGTACGGAGTAAAGATGCATCAACTTGTAAATAACAAAACTATTTTTCAAAGACAAGCAAGCCATAGTGCATCAAAGTCATAGCAAAGCCAGGGGAGATGATGGCTGCTGCACCAGCTGTGGGAGGTGACAGAAAGCTGGCCTCTCTGGGGGGAGGGGGGGGGGTCAATTCCAAAGTTTGTTCTTGAAATTGCTCTTTATGTTTTTCAAAGTTATTGTTTCCAAGATATGTTTATTTTAAGAAAGGGGAAATTATGGTTATATTTTGAGACCCAAATCATAATTGCAAAGACCTACATGCTCAAAGTGTGACCAATACCACCTCCATCAGATGAGCTAGGGTATTATTTAAATGCATATTCCCAGGCCCTGGTCTTGACCTCAGCTCTCATGTTTGAAAACTGGCTTAATAGTGGCTCTTACCTAAAACCTTGGTTAAAAAGAGTTTAGCTGGAATAAATGAACAAGTGAAAAGTGAGTTGTTTGCAAGGGGACGGGTATAATTTGCAACTGGGTAAGATGACCCATAACTCTCACTCAAATCAGGCCTCTATCACCTCAAATCCCTGAGGATGTCTTGAGCTTCAAACAACTAGCACAGTGGCCCCCATTCTTGTCCACAATATACCCTGGCCAAATGTGCAGGAATTGGACCCTGTGTTGGGCACTCAGCCAAGGCTGGAGCTGTTAGGAAATAAGAATGTGTGTATTTATTGAGGAAAATTAAAATGTGCATACGACTTTGCACAGAGGCGATTTATGAGGTTTTATGGAAGTGTCACCAAAAGGCCCACTCAGTCACTTACAATGTCAGGTCTACAAACACCTGAGAGCTCAGGCAATAAAGCTCCCTAATGGAGTCGGTGAGAAGGCCATGGTTGTGGAGGGGAGTGTGAGCCAAGTGGTGCAGGTGCCTCCACCTGTGTGTTGTGTGCAAGTGTATAGATTGGTGGAAGTCAATGTGCACATACTGGTGGGTATGCATATGTGTGGGCACTGTGAGTGAGTGGCGTGGGTCACCCCAGGGGGTACTGTGCCACAATGCAGAAGTACACCCATTACTCACCCTCCCTTCAAAGGACAGCAGAGAATTGGCTGCCCCCAGGAAGGCTTAGTCATCACTTGCTGCTAAGACAAAAGGCCTTGCTGATGTCAAGAAAATCAAACTTTCAGGGGAAAATACCTCTGAGCTGAGCATTTGAGAATGAGTAGAGTCTGGCCACCAGGAGGAAGAATGGGGGCCCAAACTCCCACCCTCTCTACTGGACCTAAGCCCTCTTCATACCAGGTATCTGGAGTTTCTGTGATTCTGTGAACCAGCCCCATGCCTATTGCTCTCCTGGGAACACTGCCCCATGTTCTCTGTCACCTGCCCAGCCTTCCTGCCAAGCCCAACAGAGCAGATATGGGGTCACTATTTCCCAAGGTATGTTGTTAAAGAGGAAGAGAGGAAGGGGAAGAAGGAAAAGGAAAAGGAGAGGAAAAAAGACTTTCAGGGCAAGTCCCTAAACTACTCAGAAGCAGTCTTTGTAAGAACAGCGTCAAGATGCCAAAGACAGCACAGCCTCCCAGTGCAAGAAGGAGGGGTCCCACTTCCTCTCTCCCTTCCATTCTTCTGCAGCATGAGGGAATCTTACATTTTGCAAGATCCCTCTGGTTGCCTGGGGTACGCCATCATCCATGTATCTTCTTGCACGTGACAGAAGTCACTTCCCTGCAAGACAGGAAGGAGCTCAGGACAAGTGTGGTTTGTGAAATGAAACCAGTCCCTTTGGTTTTTTACTCGTGGTGAACCAGAATGGCCGGCCCAGCTTGGAGTCAGAGGTTAGGGGCCAGGAGTCTATGAATACCAGTCATGTGCTACATCCTCGGCTGGATACTTCCACCTACATTGTCTAATCCCCATTCAAATTCTAAAAGGGAAAATTAGCAGAACCCTGACATGGACTAACTCTCTGAGGAGCCAAGAGGCTGCGGCATCTTTACAAAGGCGTAAGATGGGGAAGGGCAGAGATGTCTTCCACTTGGAACCAGAGGTCCCTCCTCTTGTTCCCCCAGCACTGACTATGTCCCACTCTCTTTAAACACAGCACCTGCCTCATCCTTTTGCTTGTCTTCTGTCCTTCCTTCTACCAAATTGTGAGCTTCTGAAGGTCTGGGGCCAGTTCTGCTCTCCCTACCACCAAACACCGCTCTGCTCCTCCCCATTCAGCATGGAGGAGGAAATGTTCATGGAAAAGATCAGGGAGGAAGAAAGAAAGATGGACATACCTGGGCAGTTCCCATTGTAAGCATCACCACCGCTTCCGACATCAGTTAAGATTCCCTGACGATGAGGAGAAAAACGGGAAGACCAACATCGCTGCAACCTAAGCCTTTTAGATTCACACATGCACATGCACATACAAGCACACGCAGAGTCTACCCTCACTTCTGCTCCCAAACATCCACTAGCAAGCAGAGAATATGACCATCAAAGGGTTCAACTTCAGGCCCTGGGCCCCGACTCTCAGCCAGAGCAAACACTGCCCTGGTAAAATGTCCACATCACCCTCCCTTTTAGTCAGGGTTACTCATTAAGTGAAGTGGACAGGCCAGGGAATCTATTTACCTCTGTCCCTGCTCCCAGGGACCAGCACCCAGTCCATCATGTAAGGGACTCTCAGGGTATCAGGGCTCTATGACCTGTGGTACCGGTCAGTGGCCCACAGAATTGTGCCATGAGCTGGATGGCTCAGTTTGTGGAGGGGGTGGCTGGGAACCATGGCTGGGTCTGATTTTACCACAGAGGATCCAGGCTATAGAGTCAATAGAACAACCAGGGGGAAAATCTAATGAATGGATTACAGTCATTGATGTTACTGACCTCAGATCCTCCCCTAAATCTCTTGTAAGCCATCACTCAGGTTTTCAGAATGGGGAAACTATCAGCAGAAGATCTTGACTATGAGCAAACATGATGTAAAGTTACAAACTCTGGACTGCAGCGTGCTAGGTCAGTGCTTCCAAGTGGCCAAGGGCAGAGGAACCACCTGGGGATCTTGTTAGCATGCAGCTTCTGATTCAGTTGGCCTGAGATGCTGCATCCCTAAGCAACACCTGGGTGATGCTTCTGGTCCATGGTTCACACCAGAATAGCAAGAGGCCCAAGCTCGGGATTGCTGGTGTTGGTCCACTCCCTTCAACACTCAGAAGGAGCCCCAGTTCCTTAGAGAAAAATGCCAAGCCCTCTGTGTTGCAAACTCCTTTCCTAGCCACACCCTCACTACACCCCCTGAACCCCAACAATGCTCAGAAACACCCAATGAGACTGTCTATTCCCCAGGCTTCCCAAGCCCTGCACCTGTCTGTCCTTACAGGGGCTAGTTTTCTGCCTGAAATGCCTGCTCCTTCTTTAAAGTTTTAGAAATTCCAACTTGTCTCTCTTCCTTCCATTCCTAGTACCTGTTCTGCTTCTGCTGCTTGCTACCTGTAGAGACTTAAGTGAGTTACTTCAGCTTTCTAAGCCTCGGTTCTCTCATCTGTAAAATGGGGGTGGTAATACCATCCACCTCCCTGAGGTTTCTCTAAATATTAAGTGAGATGGTACATGTGAACATTTCGCAAGATGCCTGAGACATACTAGATAATCTAAATAAATAAATAAATAAATAAATAAATAAATAAATAAGATGTTCAGCTGGCTGGAAGGGCCTCAGATTTCCCATCCTGCAACCATGGCCCAATTTGCCCATCGCCTTGCAGAGAAGGCCCCAGTGCTGGTCAATGTGGTTGTGACCCCCTTGAAACCTCGAGTGGCCACATTTTGGCCCTATGCCAAGGTTGAGCTGACTCCTCCAACCCCTGCTGAGATCCTACAGCTACTCAGAGCTTGTGAAAAGAGAGCCCACAGCGCTCTGACTGGTGGCTTCAAGCAGCTCACACTTGAGGAAGCTCTGCCGAATGGTCTGGTGGCCACTGAGGTGCAGATGCGGTTTTACGTCGGCGAGATCACAGGCAAGCGGGGCATCGTTGGCTGTAATGTTTGAAGACCAGTCATCTGTTTCATTTTGGTTTATTATTTGAACGTTCTTGGACCATGAGTGATCAGAACAGTATTTGCATTTAAAAAAAAAAAGATATTTCTAAAAATAAGTAAATAAATAAACCATCCTGCCTGAATATCATCTTCTCTGTGTGAACTTCCTAGATTTTCTCATTTACCTGATTTTGGGGGGGCTCCCACAATACTGCTCTGTTTGTACCTGCAGGACAGGATGGCGTCTTACCTCTCTCTCTGCGTTTCCAGGATCTAGCACTGAGCCGAGCATGAAATGAGCCCTCCCTCAGCAGGGAGACCAGGGCAGCCACAGCCAGTAGCATTTGGGGTGCTGTGTGTCTGAGGGGCCTTATATCACAGGCCCAGTGTGGCTAACTGGAAAACTCAGAGAAGCAGAGACTTTTCCAGATAACTAAGGATGGCACACACAGGCAAAAGATGACTCTTTATTCTAAAATGGCATATTCAGATTCTCTCAACTGTGTTTCATACTTAAACAGAACACAGTGATCTTCATACAACCTTCCCAACGTGACCTGGGCACATCAATGGGACATTAATCACTGCCTCCAGGGATGGGGCAACTATATACCTGGTTTGTCTGGGAGAGTTCAGTTTTGCACTCATTGCCTGGTCTTATTATTTGTGGCATTCCCTTTCATTCTCTTAGTGTCTCCAAGTTTGAGCGGAGATGATCAGGTCACCCCAACAAGAACCAAAGTGATAATCCAAGGGGCCCCTAAGATAAATATGAAGATTTGATGTGGGGTTTTTAAAATATGGCCTCAAAATTCTTTGACATTTCTCTCACTGAAAGATGGTATCCCTGTGCCCTTCCTTGAATCTGAGCAGCGTCGGAACACCTGGGCCAATGCCCATAGCAGAAGTGGCCCTGTGCAGGTTCCAGGCCTTGGCTTTAAGAAATTGGCAAACTCTGCCTCCTGCTGCTTAGGACGCTCCCTCTGGGAACCCAGCCACCGTGCTGCACGACAGCCCAAGACGCTGTGGAGAGGGTCCTGCGGTGGGGAAGCAGAGCCACAGTCATCTTGGAAGTCCATCCTTAGCCCCACTGGAACTGTCCAGCTGATGCGGTGTGGAAAGCAGCTGTCCCTTCCAAACTTGGCTCAAACTGCAGGTTTGAGAGCAAAGTAAATGATCGCTGTTGTTTTCAGTTACTCATCGAAGGGTATCTTTAGGAACCAATGGGTAACCAGAGCATTTGCCCTAAAAGAAAATGCTGCTGGAGCACTCAGACTTTGGACTTCTAGAATCTGTTAGAAATTGGTCACCTGCCTTCTCCTCAAGGTCAGGTCATGTCCAGTAGAGCACATGAGAAAAGATCACAAGTTTTGAAGACAAAATCTCCGGGTCCCGGTCTCTGTGAAGCCTCAAGAAACCTACTTGTCCTGTCTGAGCCTCAGTTTTGTTCTCTGTAAAATGGACATGACAAAACCTAGGTCACCATGCTGCAAAGATGAAGATAAAGCAGGGATTGGGACTAGCGAGCCTTTTGGTAAGGGCCAGATAGCGACTATCTGAGGATTTGAAGGCCACATGGTTTCTGTCACAACTCCTCAGTTCTGCCATCACATCAGGAAAGCAGACACAGACACACCTATAAGCGACTTGGCATTGGCTGGTACCAGTAAAACCTGGTTTACAAAAATAGGATTTGGCCGGCAGACCCTTGCCATAAAAGACTGGGGATGTTCCTGGCATAAATGCTAGCTAACATCAGCATATTATTATTATTATTATTATTATTATTATTGGTGATAATATTAAACACAACTTTGTTTAAGCAGAAACGTTTGCTGGGGATTTCACCAGCCTGTAACCACAGAGTTCACCAAAAAGAGTTCACCCTGAGATAATTAGCAGTAACAGGATGAGTCACTCTAAGGGGGTGACATGGAGGAGATTCATAAATGCTCTGTCATGTTCCTTCTGAGCAGCCTTGACCAAGTCATCTTACCTCTTGAAACAAGGTAGTTCATCTGTGTAATGAACGTATGCATGGCAACCCTTCTGGGGAAATCAATCCTTTCAGATCAGAGCTAAGAAACATTCTCCTGTGCTCATCGTTTCTTTCAGATGACAGCCTCTGAGCCGGGACTTGGAGGAGTTCAGCTTTAGGGCAAAAAAAGGAAGTGAATAAGGGAGGAAGAGAGGGAGGGATGGGGTGGGGGTCAATAGCAGGGAAACAAGCCCCTGATAAATTCCACCTCTCCTGGGTGCTCCATTCAATGATATGCTCATTCAGTTCTGCCTGCTGCCTGCCGGTTCTGGGCCAAGTCCTGGGGTGAGGGCAGGGTAGCTAGCAGTGATCTAGACACCCCTGATCCCGGCCCTCATGGATGGGGCCCACATCCAGTGAGGGGAAGAGACCATTAAGTAAGACATGGCAGTAACAGTGTTGTGCATTATGAAAGGGGAAGTGACGGGTGGGGACCACTCTTTGGGGGTGGGGGACCAGTCTTTGAGGGTGGGGGACCTAGCCCAGTTGGGGGTCATGGGAGGTCTCTGCAAGGAAATGACATCTAAGTCAAGCCCCAGAGGGATGAGTGGGGATTACTCACCGCTCCCTGCCTTACTTCTGTTCTTGAATTTACCCCTGTGCTTAGAGCTCTACCCCTCCCTTCTGAACCAAGGCTTCCCTTGCCTGCACTGCTTTTTGACCCTTTTCTTTTTCCTCACCTAAACCTTTGCCTGAAACGTCAATGCTCTTAAAATGAAAACCAGAAGCTCGCTAGGCCTCGTGTGATGTGGTCCCTGACACCGCACCAAGCCCTGTCTCAGTCTCCCGCCGGTAACTCTGCTCTGGCCACCCTGGATTACTTTCCAGGCCTTCCCACCACAGGCCCTTTGCCTATGCTATCCCCTCCACCTAAAACACGTCTCCCTCCTCTGTTTACCGAGTTAATTCCCACCTAGCCTTCAGAGAGCAAATCACTTATTTCCTCAGGAAGACCTTCTCTGAGCTCCCCAACTCATTAAAAGCCACTGCTTTTAAGCTTCCAACATCCTTCTTCTTCGCGCTTATCACAGATACAGTTTCCTCGATCTAAGTGAACAAGCCCCATCGACTCGTCCATGTTTGTGGCTGCGGTCCAGCCCCAGGGACTGGCACACAGTGGAACCCTACCTAGCATCTGTATTTCAGTGAATAGAATGCTGAATGCAACGCCCTCGTGCCATAGCATTTCTGCTTTCAAACCCCCAAGACTGAAACCCCACTGAGTGCCTATCTGTTCTCTGGTTTGAGTTCATAGTGGCAAGTGTGAGGGGAAAACTTTACCACAGAGTCAGAAGGGCGAAGTCAGAGCCCCATCTCTAGTTGCCCTTTGGGTCGCAGGTTTCTCACCTGTGAAAAGCGTGGAATAACAGAACAGCATCCTCCCCAACCGTCTCTTGGACTTTCTGTGCATCGTGAGGCCACTTCAAGGATGTATATACTTTGGAGCCTATTATGGCCCAGCGTCCACCAGAGAATCCAGAAAGAGGCATCGCTCGGCCCTGGGCCCCACTGCGCTGTGCAAACAGCACTGGGGGTGGCAGGACAAGCTCTGGGAGGGACCCCAGGAAGAGGAGGGCGTGGGCAGCTGCCTGTGCCACCCTGAGCCCCACGGTATTGATCCCCAGTCTTGCAGATGGAACATTTGCTTTCTTCCCCTTCCAAATAATTAAAGTATAATATTTTATGGCCTGATAAAATTTACTGGGACCCTTGGCATGTAATTATAGTGCTTCTTTAAAAGAGACCCCATAAAAGATGCATGATTAGAAAGTTAAGGATCTGGATAGAATTACAACGATGTGACAAATAATTTACAAGTGATATTAACTGTCTAAGGGGGAAAAATTCCAATAACCTCCGATGAAGGCTAACAATTAAAATAATAAATTCCCCAAGAGCAAGGGTAAACCTTTCTTCTTGGTCAAAGGCTTACACACCATGAGCCCAGGAAGAAGAATAGGCCTCCTTGTCAAAGTCAAGTCCTGGGCTCCCAAGGCATCTACTCTTTCCATATGCATGTGTGTGTGTGCTTAGAGACTTCCTGATTTAATCTTTTTAGTAATTTACCTACCCACCAATTTACCATTTTTTTATGTCTGGCCGTTCTTTCATTCTGCCATTCTATTCATTCCTCCTTCCATTCATGTATCCAGCCATCCTTCTCTACATCTATATTCCTCGGTTCATTTATCCATTTATTAATTCATTTGTCTGTCTACCCAGTCACTTATTTTTATTTCCTCCTCCATTTATCCATCCATCTGCCCACACCGTCCACATGTACTGCTTACTGGTGCTAATCAGTCTCTTTACCATGTTGTCGGGCAACACTGTAAAATACAACTGTAACATGAGCCACGGAAGTAATTTTAAGTTTTCTGGTAGCCATATTAAAAGAGATAAATAAAATAAATTTAAGTAATAATTATGTTATTTAACAATTATTTTGTCATACACTAGTATCAACATTTTCATACATTTTATACATTTATTTTAACATAAAATACAACTAACTTAACAATTTTTACTAGTTTTATTTAACTCACTCTACCCAAAATATCCTCAGTTCCACATTAACCAACATAAAAAATACTAACCAGTTACTTCGCGTTCTGCTTTTCACCCTAAATCTCCAAAATTCAATGTGCATTTTACACTTGCAGTTCTGTTCCATTGGACTAGCTGCATTCCAAGCACTCAACAGCCACACCACACATGGGCTGTGGCCACTACCCCCTTGGGCAGCCAGTTCTAGGTCTTCGCAGGTGAATCAAAGAGAGCTTTCTCCCTTAAAGAGTTCCCACTCCGCTGCCATTCATGGTGGGAAGAAGGGGAAGGACTGGTCAAAGAACGTGTATGAATGACCTATGGACATGGGCAACAGCATGGGGACCGGCCGTGGGAGTGGGGGGTGGGCTAGACAGAGGAGGCCATGGAAGAAAAGCTGGGACAGTTGTAATCGAATAACAATA